TATTATACTCAACATGTTTAAAAACATTTATTCTGTATAATTTCTTTTCAAATTTTTAATCTATATTTTTACTGCTTAATATTAATACATGAATTGCACATAAATTATGAGTTTGTTATATTAGCAACAAGTTTATTTTTTAACTGTTTTGATTTAAAACAATATTCACGTAATTTCGTCTTGTAGAAGACGTAAAATTATACACAAATCATTACAAAAATACTAGAATATAAATACTTATTTACCAATAATGTTGGGCACAAACAAGAATATATTCTCAGTCATTTTGCCGCCTTCGATTGTTCCCCACTGTTTTGGAAATAGTAATGGAATCTGTTATCTGTAACCAAGCGTAAAAATTTATCTGTTATCTGCGGTCGGCTGTGTCAAATAATATCTTTTATTCTTAACTTACGAACTTTGCAACCTATCCGACTACTTATACACACCGTGCTGTCTCCAATTTAATCTAAATTACAGCATATAACGTCAATGAATTGATAGAATCGATGATCATATCGCATTATGGTTCGAGTTCGAGATATATCGATCCTGATGACGCATTAGCAGTCACACAACTAACAGTGTTGTATCCATTAACATTTTTACCGATCTATTAAAGTTTCATTTACTAATGTTGTTTAAAATTATAACATATACCTCAAATTATTGCAAAATACGATTCTTGTTTAACTGTGTTATGTTCCGAAAAAATAATATATTTCTTATTAAATTCTTTTTATTGCAATTAATCACACAAATTGGAATAAATTTGAACGCACTGTAACGTACTGTCTTTTAAAACGCGATAATTTGTTATGAATAATTCGTTTTTACTATTTTGATAAAAATTATTTAAAATATGGAAGAAAATCACAATTGCAGAAGATATCTTGACACATAGTTACGCTCCTGAAGCCAGACGACATTTTCGGAGGCTAAACGGCTGGTCCGCCGTTTCTCTGCGCAAAAGCGATCGTTTATTGTGTCGCGAGGAAACTGTCTGTGCAGGTTTACGTCAGTTTTCCTGTAACTTCTTTCTGATGTGATTAACCAAAAGTAATAGCTATTGAACGATAGTGAAATCAAGTGAAATGTTTTAGTGCGAAAATTTATTAACCGTACGGTTGGATTTGGACGTCGTGCAATGAAGTTTCGGGTGGACTACTTTCCATTCACTCGAACACAGTTAATATTGTATTTCAAATAAATCCCGTTCACGAGATTTCCTGTTTATCTTCAAAACAGATATTTCGATAAAAGATTGTCGTCGTAGTTTTTGTGCTATCATCGGAAAGTGCATAGACAGAAGTAACATTATGCGATCGATAATTCACCAACAATTTTGGAATACGCTTCAATGATCGAATCAGGCACTTGTGACTCTAAGCGACGTTTCTGATTGTCAGTGAAAATGTTTTAAAAGTGATTTTAGTGTCTTCCAAGGCCTATACACAGCGGAATAGTAACAAGAACAAACTATATGTTTCTTGATGTGTGTACAAGCAATGCCAGAAGCATTGTCGTTGTTTTGGACAAATACGTTTTCGTGTCTTCCATCCGTATACGGTTGGAACAACGCTATCAATAGATTGCATTTCGTGTAAAGAGAAATTTACAAGCAGCGTACGTGAGAAAAATGTGCATTTTAATATCGACAGCGGCCATTTTGAATTTATGAGTACTCCGAACTACGGCGATTATCAACCTCGTTTTGTAACACCAAAATTGGACTTTCTTTGACGCCTTCCGAATTGAGTTCAAAGGCGTGAAGAACTAATTTGACGTGTCACCTAAAACTATTTACAATTTTCTATTTCTGAAATGAAATCCTAACAAGTGCTATAAAAAGCATTCCATTCGTTTTATATTGTATATTTTAATATATATCGGCTGTTATAATTTCGGCATGAATCGAATAATTGGAATATACGTTGAATCATTACTAAAGTTTGTCCGATATTGAAAAAAGCACGTAAATTTCAAATTATGTATTTTTTTATATTTTGTTACTTATGGAGAAGCAACAAATAATTCCAAGCAAGCATATCAATGGTGAAAAGACGTATAAGCTGGATAGATGTTTCTATTGTTTTCGCATTTTTCTTTCAATAAATATATGACTCGAGCACAAATTCAATATTTGTCTCTCTTTGATATAACATAGTACGCGTTTCAATTCGTTGGAATACATAACGTACTCTACCGACTGATAGTTGTGGCTGAAGCTGACAAGTAAATTTGAAATAACCTCAACAACGAACGATCGCTGGTATCAAGACACAAAAATGAATCACACTTTCAAACTTGTTGTACATAGATAAATATGTACCAACTAATTGAAAATATACGAGAATAATTTAGAAAATGTCGAAAGACGACATTTTTCTGACTGATCGACAGTCACTACACTACATGGTGGACGGTGCCATTTTTGTCACCTTCATAGCGCGCGTGGAACGCGCGTAAAGTCGAGCACGTAGAGAGGATCATCAATTGAATCTCACGAACTAAATAAAAATAATCATTATTATTTACGCGTATATTTTCTCGAGTCCAATTAAACGTGTGAAATATCTGATCGGTTGAACCGGTCGAGCTTAACCTGGTGTAACGTTGGTACGGTGGAAAATGCTTTCATTTATGAGGACGTGATGGTAGTGATGGTTTTACAGACTAATAAACACACCAACGAAATTAAAATAACACGAAATGCAGGAATCTCGAATCGTGTTCTGTGATCAAACGAAACGGGTCGTTAGACCTTAAAAACACCAAAGAAAAATGATAAAACAATGAGTATAGCGGACACAGCGCTGTCAATTTCGATCAAAATGGCCCCAGGGCCGGCACATCGTCAAGAACCGGTAGCACCTGACAAAACTGCTGAAAGCAAGAATAGTGAGGTCTCTAATGAAAGAGATATTGAAAATTCAGTGGTAGATGTTGAGACTGTTAGTAACCAGAGTTCGAGTGCAGAGTGTACTTCAACGAACACTGACACCAATACAGATTCGACTAGTCCAAGTGCACCAACTTGTATTACCTCTGACAGTAAACAGGTGAGTTACAAGAATTAACAGTTTACAAAAGGATTTTGAAATCTTTTAAGATTTATATTAGCTAGCATTGTAAAAGGCATTTATTAATTTACACATAAAAAATGTATGGAAGTACAGAGGTTATTTTAAATACATTGTGAAAGCATTTGAACTTCTTCAAAATGTTAATTTAACACATTCACAGTCTGAGGTAAAAATGTTCTCTCTACTCACACATCCAAAAAAGTGATATGTCTCGCTTACCTAAGGGATATAAACATATTCTTCAATCTCACTGGTCTACAACCAAATCACTACAAACTAGTGTTCTACAAACAAATCACATTCTTTATTCTTAGCTCTTCATTAGCTTTTCATTAACATATTATCTGACAAAAATTCAAGAAACAGCTAGTGGAAAAGATTAGGAAATGTTATGCAGGATACTATATAGACCTTTGAAATAGTAGAATTGATTGGGAACTTGAACCTAAAAAGACAAGAATATATACATAGTATAAAGTGTGCAATAAACCACTTTACATAGATTGCTATAAAACACAGCACTCTTAAAAATTAGGTATTATGCTTCTTATAATCCTATGGAA